CCCTACAAATTAGGAGCATACTTGTCATAGCTCACCTCAATCAGTTTCATTAAAGTATTTGTGGTGTGAACGTGAAGGTGTTCATTAAAAGCTGAAAACTTCAAACATGTGTTGTGTAGCAACTAGAAGTGCTTACCGTAATCTTTAAAGAATACATTTGCTGAGCAAAAGCAGAGAACAAGAGCAATAGAGACAAATGGAGTGGTAGGAGTTACACAGCGCTGTCCCCGCCCCTGACCTATCCTCAGATGAACTTATCATGTTGCCTCATAATGTTTCTGAGTTTTCCTCCTAGAGGCAGTCAGGTTCAACAGGGCTGATTGGTTGATATTGTGGCTGCTGATTGGTTGATATCTTGGCTGACCGTCTGTGGTTTGCAGCAGAGAAACAGGAAGCTCGTCTTTTCATGCAGGAAGCTGCAGCTGCTGGTCTTGACACATGCACCACTTTGCACACTACTCTACATTTGTGTTTACATGCACTTATCTGAATAAACAACCTGGGCTTTGTGTGCATGCTTGGTGCATTTCAGAGTGCACTGCTCAGTGCTGTATTACGTGGGTGTGTAGAAACATGTCAGGCCAAGCATCTGAGCCATCAGAAAGACTGCAACCATAGTAACCATACATCTTCTCAACACCTAACATCAAAAAGTGTTAAATATTAAAGGCTACTGAATATATTTTTTGAGCTATAACTAGGATTTTATAGATAAATGAAAAATGTTGTCAACACAATGGTGGCTTTATAATCTTTAAGTTTGGTTAGAATTTGATCTTCATACATATAAACTGGTGTGGTTGCTATGTGTTTACAAGCCATAATTATTTAGCATCTTTTACCAGTGACAACGTGAAAATCAAAATCACATTTATTTATTTTTAATTTATCGTTCTTACACTTCCCCTGTTTCTTTTTTTTTTTTTTGCGCATTACATTTTAGAGGGCTTAGAGTCATTTCATCTTCATTTGTTTATACTGGTTACTGTAGGCCCTTTACTGAACATGATCCATGCATCTTTTTACATGTTTAATGAGGATATACAAAACATGAGAGTTGGCAACGTTCCAGTGACAAACACAACTAGCTGACTAGGTGTCCCTGTTAATGTTTAGGTCCAGCATTCTTCAGGAAGCAGGTGTGTGAATTTTATGTGTCCAGTTTATTCCTCAGTTTCACCATGTTTTGACATCACTGTATAGATATGTGTGTGGGAACTCTCCTGTCGTAGGTACCTCTGCCAACCTAAGCTCCTGACTTCTCATTTGCCCACCATTACCAACACCTCCTCCTTCCTCATTGAAATTCCGCCTGGTACTCAGACACTGGCCGTTTCTTGGCACAAAGTGTTCGTCTGGTGCCCCCTCCGCCATCTCTCTGCCAAGCATTCATCCTGTCTCATAGAGAGAGCAGGGACCAGGCACACCAATAGGTATTTCCCTGCCCTGTTTCCTGAAAATCGGCTTCTGAGGAGAGTTGTGTTGGCTGCTAAACATGTCGTGTGTTCAGGGATTTGTTAATTAACTTGTATGTTTATGTGATTTGCATATTTTGCATGGGGCAAAAGAGTAAATCCAAAGAACCCTGCTGCGTGCTGCAACAGTGCGCATTGTTTTGAGAGAATGAATAATAATTTGACATTTGTATTACCATTTTAAAATGTTTCTGCAATCTATAGAAACAGAATTAAATATTAATTAATGAAAAACAATTTACACAAATAATTGTATACTTATTTTTTTTATTATTGTTTTCATACGTTCTCATCCACAAAACTATTTCCCAGAAGTCTTTTTTTTTTTTAACTATATGTAATGCTTGAAGTATATTTAAGAGAATGCCTTACAATGTCTGTGACAGTTCCCTAAAAATGAAACATAAGAACTATATCATGGTTGGTCAGAAAAGCAGCTTTATCAGAGGGCAGGCGAGGACAAGGTCTTTTTTTGGCACACACTAAAACTGTGTTTACTACATAGATATAATGTCCAGAGCTGTTTTTCTGATGTGGATTAGATTAACTGATTAAATCACATTCATTTTGTTTGTAAGAGTCAGTGCTGGTACAGTTTTGAGAAGCTGTGGACAGGTTGCCTGAGAGAGCCATGTGCCACCAGTGCACAATAACAGACAATGGTGCCAAGACAGGTCACATGACTTTTAGTTCGCCCTCTGTTTTTCTACAACAGTTGTTGTTGCTGTATTTTGACACCTCATATTTTCACCTCTCTCATATAAAACTTTGAATCAACCACAAATTATTTTATTTGAATGTTTGGCTGTGTTCCCTTCACTGCGCTTTACTTTGACTCTCGCTGGCCTCTGTAAACAGCTCAGACACTTTTGTTGGCAGCCGATTGCAGCTTGTAGATTTGTCACTGACATGTTGGTAGTCAGGCATCATGCCAGGACACCCCTAGCCCCCTCCCCTGTCTGTCTGGACGTGGGTAATCAGACTAGCAGGGTCTGCCTCATGCTAGCCATTGGCCATTCTAGGCCAGTCTGGTTTTGTGCCCATATGCTAATTTATGCAAGATGTGTATCTCCTAAACCCCTCTCCTTCAATCTGAGGCCGAGGTCTGGCAATTAGTCTGGCACTCATTAACCCTTTAGCCACTACTGTGTTACCTCAGTGGCCCTTTGCCATATTTACATTACTGTGTGAAAGCATGCACAAAACCGTTACAAAAAGTATTTAGCAAATGTGTTTTTGGCATTAACTCTTACATTGACTGCCAGAGACACAGACTTTGATGCTTTTCTGCTGACAGGAAATGTGACACAGCAACCACATTCACCAAAGTCCTCTGGACACCAGTAACTTCACAATTTGTGCTGTTTCCCTACACAGTACACACCATAGATTTGGATACATGGACTTTGTGCATCCACAGAACCAGACAAGGCCTTGTCTCAAATTGTTGGCAGTGCCCCATTCCTTGGCACAACCCGACTTTCTGACACTCTGCACAATAATAGCTGTATTTCTTCAGGAGATAGCAGGCTTGTAAAAGAACATGTGAAGCCGACTTTTACAATGTATTTAAGACCTAAAATGGCCGATGTGCCTGACGCCATTTTGTTTCCTCGTTTTGTTTTGGAGGCAGAATCCCATGCTCGTTCTGAATTAGAGGCAGCTGGTGGTAGCCATGTTAGCTGTAGTCTGTGTGTGTGAGAGAGGAGCAGCTACTCTGGGATAGCCCACTGGAATGAGATCAGATCTGGACAAAAACTGAAGCAAATTTAATGGCACAGATTCAAGTCTCGGGAATCTATGAGGTTGGCTTTCACATATCACTGTTTGTATAGCAGCTGTCCGCCTCTAATAATATAGTGTTTTATATATTTAAGTAAAACAATAATTCTTGGGTGAGTGAAATACCTGCATCTATGGTGTATTGTAAAGGTTTTGTTTAAAAATTTAGGAGGGTGGCAAAATAATGCATAACAACAAAATACATTTTTAGACAAGTATTTACAATTCACCAACACATTATTAGTTTTTGAATAGTTTAGAATATTTTTAATTTATTTTGAGGTTGAACTGAGTTTTTATGTTACTTATATGATCTACATTTTACATTTACATTTGATTTGATGCAATATATGTAGTTTGAGAAATGCAGTTCATAAAAATAATGAATCTTGTGATTATTACGCAGACAGCATTTAGAGTGGAGTAGTATCATATGGCCGTGTTGTGCATACAATGTAATTTATAAATTCTGCCTCTTTTTTCAGTAATGCTGCATTAGAGGAACACACCAGTGAGCACTTCCCCAGTGAGGACCACACGAACTCTGTCCTGGGGGCTGAGGTAGTAGATTGAATAGTTGTGGGGTTTTCTGACCTCGTTTTGAGATAACTATACAATCTACTGTCTTTCCCAAGGAGACAGCTCAGTCAGCCATTCGCCCACTGCCATCTCCAGAAGGACACAGCCCTCCACCCTCTCTGAACACAGCTCAGTTGTTAGTGGAGACCTGGACGGTGGAGTATGACTTGAGCTCTGTCAGGGTGAGGTAGTAGGTTGTATAGTTTGGTGGGTGGGTCTCCCCCCTGCTCAGGTGATAACTATACAGTCTATTGCCTTCCCGGATGAACTCACTAAATTTCAAAAATATTTTTTCTTTCAGATAAATATGATTGATAACATGTATAATGTTGTTGATACTGTTGCTGTAAAATAATAAAATACATATTTTTAGAAATTGTAAGTGCCATTCCTAGCCTTGAGATATTAACAGTGTTAGTGCAGATCACCCTCTAGTGTTTTCTCAAAAGATTGCAAAGCTCTGATGCATGGATATGCACATTGATCAAACAGTAAATTGTATCCCTTTTTATGCATGAACTAAACTTAAACTAGTTGAAAATTATGCTTTGAAATGAAGAAGGTGGGTTAAATTAAGGTTTTTCTTATATCAAATGCAAAAGACACCAAATGTCTGACATGATCACACCAATTAATTTCCCCATATGCACGGCAAGATAAAAAGCATTCTCAAAACATACAGTATGTAAACATTTGGCAAAAAGCCACTGGCATCACAAAACACATAGTCACTTCACATAACTTCATATCAACACCTCAGGTCAACTCAAAGCTATAAAAACACTATAATCAAAGCCAGAGACTAGAATTCATAATATCATCCAAATTATGTCCTCCTTGCTGATAGTGACTGGGTGTTTTTCATGCAAATTTGCCCTCTAATGGCTGCCGTACCCGACTACACCGTTATTGTAATCTCCCATTAAGGACAAGATATGATCGATTTTGTAATACAGCTGGCTGCCCAGTGTAAATATTGTCACAATTTGTTCCCCTGTGGAGCAGGCTTTTTGTCACTTATTACTTTGGCATGAAAATGAAATGACAGTGTTATGCAAAAGCTAATGCTCATATTGTTAAAGTTCAACCAGACTTAAAATGTGACTGTTTCCAGAGGCCAGTGTCAGGGACTGGTACATGCTTACAAGTAAAACATACAAAGGGTTGTTTTAAAAATCATGGCATTTATTTAAATGTGTGAAAACAGAAAAAGAAAATATTTATGGAAAAACATATAAAAAATATGAATGCTATCTGCAAGACAACAATAAAAAGTTATTTTAACAATACATTGCTACTTATAAAGTAGGTGTTTTGGATTTACAAAATCTTGGAAGCCATTTTTTATGACTATCCACTAGAAACCGCTTTTATTGTGAATACTCAGTATTCAAACATTTTACTAAAACCATTTGCATGGCCTTAATGATTTAATTTAGATTCACCAGTAATGAATTAAGAGTAGATGATGGTGATAAATGATCATTGTATTATTAAATCATTGTTTTATTTCAAATGGATGAACTGTTCATAATTAACTTTAACAGTTTTGAGTTATGCCAATTTGTTCCCATATAAACTACTCAGAGCACCTGTTTAGACATTAGTGGATGCGCCCTGCAGTCCTTTCAGTGTCTTTTCATCAAATCTGTAAGTGAGTTTTCTCTTCACCTTCTGGATTTCTCCAGTACGGGAATAATTCCTTAGCGCGCGCGCCATCTTCTGGTACGTCATGGTTTTGCGGTTTCCTTTCCTCAGGCCCCAGAGTTCTGCTAAACGTTCCTTGTTCTGGGAGGAGAACTGGAATGTGCCTGTGGACGACTGAACCCACCAAATACAGTTCCGCATGGATGGATTCTGCAGCATCTCAAACAGGAACTGGAACAAGCGCTCTTTTCTCTTTCCTGAACCAAAAACAGGATGTAAATAAACATGAGGTCAGATTGTCAGCTCAGGTAAGAACAAACATCTGGCACATCTTTTTTCTAGGGAATACCTGAGAGTGGCGCTAGATTTAAGTCTTGCTTTTTCCCATCTTCTGTGTCTGAAGTTGGAGATGGAAAATCCGGGTATTCCTGAAACTGAGAACTACTGGACTGGGAATCTGAGTCTTCATATGGTGTCTTATAGGGATGTATAATACGATCCTAAAAAGAAGTAACATACTTTTAGTGAGACCCCAACCCAGACAGCAACCCAGTTTGGGAAATATTACACTTTTGGGGGCTTTGATCTGTTATTTCACTCAGAGGCACATACGCTTGATCATCTGTGGCAGATGTATGCAATATTGTTTATGTTATGATTCATGAACTCACCCAGTGATTCTCCTGTGGGCTAGACCAGGCTGGAAGGGGGCCTAGCTGAGGGTACTTCTCATTTGGAGTTTGAGGTCCACAGTGCCACTCATATGCATGCAGACCAGACCAGCTGTTTTTACTGTATTCTGTAGTGAATTACAATTAAACATAAATCACTTATATCACTGACAGACGTATTTGCACTACTCTCTGTGTGTGTCACAAGCTATCATTCAAAGAAATTCACAAATTCACATTTTACTTGATTTTTTGGGCCATAAAACTAACGTAAACCAGTATGTTCCAAGAGGGAATCCTCTTGGAACAATTACATTTGTACATCTATTACTGTTACTTACTACAGTCACCAATCCTGCCACAATGATTTCTAATAACTGTAACTACAGAAAGAAGGAAGAAGAACTAAAAACATCTCTAGACTCTGGATTATGCGTGCACTCACCGATGACCCTAGTAGCCTGTAAGTGCTGGGTGTGTGTGTGCTGGCCCACTGCAGCAGGAGGTGAGGTGGTTGGGGGGATAGGCTGGACCTCCAGGGAATGCTCTTGGAGATACTCCTCGATCACCTCCAGATCGACCTCCTGGAAAGACGGGGACATGACAGTCCACTCTCCTCGAATAGACTCATTTGGTATGTGACACAGTCGGGCCATCTACAAAGATAAAGTAATGTGAATAGGCCTGTCACGGTAACAAATTTTGAAGTACAATATATTGTTGATGAAAATATAGACAATAAACGATAATATTGGAACACAAAAAACCCTACAGCAGGGTTATTCCCAAAAATTATTCTAAACGCACAAACTGCAATAAATAAACAGCAGAATTAATCACTGTAGTAGTTTGTTTGTATCTATAATGAGTAATATAAGTTATTTATTGAACCCTGAACAGCTCAGATCTAATCATAGAAAGAAAAATCACAGAAAAACACCAAAATGTTCCCGATTAGTACAAAGAAAAAGTTCCCACAATAAACTGACCCCCAAAATGTATTGTTCCATCTAACATACTGAAGTTCATATAGTATTTATTGTGACAGGTCTAAATGCAAACACGTTATGCTCCATTTTTTTAATGATTATTCCCAAATTCTTTTATTATTGATAAGCAGCTCTATTTGTGCACTTAGATGAACAAAGACCTCTTCTTTGAACATACTACATGCGCAAATAATTTGTTTAATATTGACATGACAGTAATGAGTGGTTAGAAATAGGCAAGCTAACTGCACATTTTGGTTTGACTATCAAATTTATGCAAGTGTTTATGCTTTCAAGAGAGATAATACCTCCCCTCTGGAACACATCATAGCTTTAACACAGCTTAATAATAAGCAGAAAAAATAAATAACTATTAACTCACCATTTCCATCTCAGGCAACACCAGAGGCAGGTCAAAACAAGATACCTATAGGAAATAAAGATAAATAAATATGATTAAAAGCAGACAGTGTATAGATACTTCCCTATCAACAGCATGGAAACACATGGCAACAAAAACATTATGACAGCCAAATGTGTGACAGTCAAAGAGGAAAATACTTACCTAGTTCCTCCAGCGTTTTAATATGATATAGTAAATCCTTAATGCAGCAGAGTTATGAATAGACCAGTTCACCTGTTGATCCACGCACCTGGTTCACTTTTTATATACAGCCCGGACACCACCTCCTCCTCCCATTTAGCCACACCAACAAGGGGAGGAGCTTGCCATAATATGTTACTGTCTAGAACTTTTTGTTTAGTTTACAACAAATATTAACATAGATAATAGAATTTTACACAAATAAATAATTCAGTTCATATGATAAATAAATAAACCAAGGAAAGAGTTAATCATTTTAGTGTTGCGCTGTTTAATGTTAGACTTTGGCATAATTGTAATGTACAAATATATTTTCTAAAGTAAAAACAAAAATGGTTTTAACTACCATTGTTTGCCATTTATTACACTGTAATATATTTATTTGACTAAATAAAGAGCATAACTGTACAGTGTTACAAAACAGAATCTTATCTTCACAAAATCACCTTGTGACGTGAATATTAATGATATGTAATGCTACTAACAGAGATTGTTCATTCATTATGATTACACATTCACTCATACATGCATTTTAGGCTATAAATTACAGAAAGGAAGTGCAGATCTGACCTCATTCCATTCCAAATTCATTCTTTACTAGAGAGAGATCAGATCCAAACGTTTATAGACTACAAAATGTTCAGATTAATCACATTAGACCACACAATGGCTCATTCTAAATCAATGCTAGATTAAAGTTATTACTATGAGGAAGCACATATCCAGAGCCATGTGGCCTCCTTTGCATCATTGCATCACTGAGGTCTTGACTGCAGTGCGTCATTCATAAGTCAAACTATGTTTTGTGTCTTAAGTTGCTTCCTCTTTCATCTTGTCTTGATTTTCCCTTCACTGACGTGCATTCCATACATTTTCAACAGTGACCTAAAGATGGCGCTGTGGCGTTTGACGGGGATTCCACTTTTTTTCAGACTGTGTAGTGAGCTTTTCTCGCACGAAAATGTATTGCTTGACATCTTAGAATTGTGTAAATTTGAATTTTCACATAAATAAATCATGATAAATTGTGATAACTTTACCTGAAGGACTGGGCTTTAGGTGCTTATTTAGGCTGCTGTTTGGTCTATTTTTTGTGAAGGAGGAAGAAGGGATTTGGTATGCCATTGCTGCAATGCGTATCTCACTGTAAAATATCTGAGGTAACAAAACAGTCACGTTTGATACAAAATAGCCTATAGATTTTTTATTTCCCCCCAATATCAATTTTTGATATACAACAGAACTGAACCCACTACCTTAGCTAAAACATCTGCCTGTGTCCCTGGCTGGGTAATTTATAAACTAGTTGTTTATTTTATATGGATTATGCAGGAACCGGTAGAGTGAGGAAGTACCAGAGCACCAGTAAAACATCAAAAGTTCCCACATTCAACGTCATTTAACTCTTAAGATGCCAAAAGACAAAATAATTGTGCCATACTTTCATCACCAGTGCAAACTATGTAATTAGTTGTGTTGTAATAAGTGTGACTTTTATTGTTCAGACGTAAACCTTGATGATGACATGCCACACTATTTGCAAAATATGATTTGACTGCGTCGACTTAACACCAATCAGGTACATGATTTTATTATACTTCCATGATATTGAACCTGTGCCCAGTCTGACAAAAAGGAACAACACATCTCTGCCGTATTTGGCACGTGAAAAAACAAAACAAAACATTAAAGTAAGAACTATTGGTGGAGAGCAGTTATACCTTCAAAAGAACAATGCATTTGCAGGCAAATGCTGCCCTGAGACTTTCAAATAGATCCTCTGTACTGTAAACCTCTGTACTGTCTGCAAGGAGTGCCTTGTTCGATTTGTACTTTGTTTATCTTTCTTGTATGAATATTTGCATGTAAAATGTAACTAAACTCATATTAGTTTTTTGTTCTCTCTCTCTCATATATATATATATATATATATATATATATATATATATATATATATATATATATATATATATATATATATATATATACATATGTTTTTGAATTTAAAAAAATCACACAGTTCTTGTTCTTCTCATACAGGCTTGATAAACGTGTTTGGAAAAACCCTGCGTGCTGCAGTGAACTGTGTGACGGTTAGATTCCTCTCACTGCTGGTGCACCTGCAGAGCTCAGACCAGGTGATAAGGCGCCAGACATTGGACCCTGCTTTATACACAAGGAGCAGGTGACATGTGAGCTGCACACACACTGCTTCAACAAACCTGACGTTCTTGGAATGACTTCAGTTATTTTAAGCTAAAGGGGAATGTGGAATCTAAAAATAGACAGTGGATCTAAAAATAAACTGGAGGAATGAGTACAGGTTGGTTATATCATTACTTGGTATGTAAGAGGAGAGTTTATTAGACATAAAACTGCATATTCTTTTTAGATATAAAAAGATGTTGTTTAATTTGTTTTTTTTTTATGATATCACATTTATTTACCTTGGCTCTGGACTGGTATCCTGCATTTTGATATAACTAGTTGTTTTTGTAATATTTCTTCAGCATTAGACACATTTGGGTGTTATTTCCTTGTGCCATTAGTAGATGTGACACTAGCCATCCTTTAAATAAGTATGTTATTAATGAGTGATGGGTAAGGCCTCTCAGATTGTCCAGGTGTGGTGAGTTACAGTTATAGCCAAACCCTTCAGATTACTGAGCATACGCAAATCACCTGTACACAGGTGAGTTACCGGGAAATCCCCAGGCACCAGCAGAGGGTCAGCACTACTTATGTGCGTTTAAACCAGACCCTCAAATGAGATGGTTTGAGGCATCATGTAAATACAGGGTTTTTAATTACTTTAACAATTATACTATAAATAAGTGCTGTGCAGAATTTGCATTCATCGTAATCTCCAGGCAGTCTGTTATATTTACTTAAAGAATTACTGTAGATGATGTAGACCTACGGTTTTTATTTTGATGTTGCGGAGCATGGGCAGATCCACCAGAGCAGGCCTGGCAGGTGAGGAGGCCGTTAGAATGCTAAGGTTAGAGACATGTACTGTTATGCAAAACTTGAGGTTGACCCATCCAAACAAAGAAATTATGCCTACACAAACATCAACAAAACGTACAAGGAATCTAAACTTGTGTGTTGTTTAGTACTGGTTTAGGCTTACTGGCAAAGTCCTGATTTAATCCTGTGCACTTATACAAACTTCTTTGGGTTGCAACGATTCTTAGCACCACCAACTGTACTTGTGCCATAGTTTGAGAGGCTGGTCATATACATTGGGCTCATTTGGGAATTATGTGGAGATAAGAGGGTGGGATTGGGAACTGGAGGGACAGTGCATTCCCACGAAGGATTGTTTGCATCATCCAGTGTCCGTCGTACAATCTGCACTCAATAAACACTCATAAAGCAGGAGGTACAGGCAGACACGCTAACCCACTCCTTATCACTACCAAATAGAAGAGAGAAGACCGAGTATAAATCATCTGCCACTAGCACTATGGAGAGATAAGAGGCACAAAGGGCCAAATCAGGATGGATTCAAATGTACAAATCTGGTTTCTGTTTCATTCATGACACAAAAAATGAGCAGTCTAGAAATCACTTTTTGGATTTGGATAGACTTGATAATACATCCATATGGAAATAGTGTGTGCGGCGTGCCTGCGAGGGAGTCTGATTATTTCTTTGTTTTCTTTCTCATCAAAATGAAGAATATAGGTTGTGTTCATGTTGTAGAGTTAGATGTCATATTGCCAAATGTTGGGCAGGGACCTCTAACCATATGGGAGATTTACAGTTTTTAAAGAAATTACCAAATGTGTGATTAACCACAAAATTGCCTTGAAGTTCTTTCAATGACAACAATCCCATCTTTGGGGTGGAATAATGACACTACTTTCTGAAGACTGTGAAAATGTGTGTGTTTTTTTTTTATGTTGTTAGGCTAAGTGATTACATAAATATTGTCATAAACTAGGTAAAAAAACAAAACTACAAACTGCAAAAAAAAAACAAAAAAAAAAAAAAAACTGTCATGCAAACATAATTGACCAAATACACCTCCAAAACATAACAAATTGCTAATTCTGTCTTTGGTGAACAAATGTGTTTTAAAAGATAATTAAAACTCATAGCTCACTTATTGCAGTACATAGTAATACATATGTAACCATGTTAATCACTCCACAAATAATACTGTTATCTCTTCTGTCCAAATTTACAATAGCAGCATGAACTGTTCAAACAGCCTGTCAGGGTCTGCTCCATCTCATATATTATGTTGTGCTTACTAAATACACAGTCTCTCCAATGTAAATGAAATATTTCCCTCATTCAGACCAAATAATTATGAATTAAATATTAAATATAGAATATGTCTTTTATAACAGCCTTTCTGGACACTACTGGCTGAAGCTCATCGTAGCCATGGATCATGCATAGAGATATAGTAAACCCTGGTTTGAATAGAGACGTCTAGAGGGAGATCGTTGTTACAGATCTTTAGGCACAAAAACGACTCCGTTCTCTTCCACAGGGGATATTTATTACAAAGCCACACACAATTTTTTTTAAATCGGCTGTAACAGTCCCCGCTCCCATACCGTGCCTAGCCGCGGTCCAAAACAAAAAACACACGTCAGTCTAGTTCAAGGCACGTACCAAGAAACTGTGCGGGGCGTTCAAATACATCTCGCAAAAACAACAACAATCAGAATTCAAAACAACAAGAACAAGGGTACACTAATTCATCACAATCATGCGTAACTGTAAAGTCATTAATCAAGTCTCTCACACTCTCCCCCACTATTAGATGTCGTCCCGACACACAAAATAAACGTACCTTCTTAAGATAAAATTTTACCTTCCCTTTATTATCAAATGATATGAAATGGACATTTTACAAAGGTTCCCCCTTTTTATTTGTTTTTAAAGTTACCCACAACTACCGTGCACTGTAGTCATGTGTACCCCTGAATATCGTTCAGTCTTAGTTATCCGTCCCATAGGTAATTGTACCCAAATCCATATCAGAGACCCAATTTGAAGCAGAAAATGCTTTCTTACATGTTCCAAAAGAAAA